TTTTTGTTTTTTGTTTGTTGCGGTTGTACCCGATTAAGAACCGAATGGCTCACAGGGTTATACCTAATAAATGAACTTGAACTTGGATGAACGCAGGAAGGACAGCGGCTCGTTTGACATGCGCATGAGCGGGCTGTCGCTGTCCGCCGTGCTGGTGCTGTCCCGCGATGCCGGGGAGGCCGTCGGTCAGCGCCGGTGGCTGCAGCAGTGAGGTCGGCGACGTCGACATCAAGTTCCACGGCGGGGCCAGGTGACTGCACTTTTCTCTTCGTCCCTCCCCCGGCACCTCCATTGAGCGTGGTTGGCTGCCTACGACACGGAAGAAGTTCGACAGAGGCACATACTAATCTCGCCAGTTCAAACAAATTCTCCCTCTAGTACCCGATTAGTGTGGCTGAGATTCTTGCAGCGATTGATTGATGTCATCTGCGGGCCTTTTAAAAGTGTCGGGCCTCATTGTGGCCACGGGCCATACACTGCAGCCTATGATGGGCCTAGGTTTCCAAACTCCATGGTTTAAACGATTGTTGTTGTGTGTGTGTGTGTGACAGCTGGCTGTACAACCTCTTCAAACACCTAATCGAGAATAACATACGAGATCACCTGAAGGGTCAGGTATGTGTGTGTGTTGAACTTCTTTTGCACCGTACGTAGCCAACCGTGCTAATTGGAGGGTGGGGGAAGGACAGCAAACTAAACACAATAAGCAGTTCTAAAGAAATTAGTTTTGAATCTGAATTTGAAAGTGCATAGCTCCAGTGGCTTGCTAATATCAGAAGAGCATTCCAGAGGGCCGCAGAAGAAGATTTGAAAGCGGCCGATGTGGTGAGCGCCGTCTCCGTCCGATGGCGAGTTAAACGTCACTGCGAGGACGGCCGGAGTTCGCGTGATCGTTCACGAGCCTTGACGAGATCAACAAGGAATTCTGCTTCAGTTGTGGCGAGCGCTCTGTGTGTAATGAGTAGTGCGACCTATATGAGTGCGACAGGTGTGAACACCGGTGCCGTCTTCGCGCATGTGTCTGTGACTGCGAGCACCTATTAAGGTCGCGATGGCACCAGAGTGGGTGGTATGGCCAGGACCACGAACACGCCACGCCAACTTGTTGTTCTCTGTTCAACGTGGCTAAATACCAGCTCTAAGAATGAAAACATCGGTTTGCCTGTCACACGACGAACCTCACTCTCATGTGCAGAGCGGGTGGGGAAAGTCCTGCCCTTTGCTGTGTGTGTGTACTTGAAGAAGGGATCTCAGAGGTAGCTCTGGGGTATCCGCTTCCACGGGCCGTTCTGTGTGGATCAGAGAGTCACTTGCAGAAGAAGAGATCTCAGAGGTAGCTTTGTGATATCCACTTCCGTGGGTACATTCTCGAATAACGCGGAGGCTCTGGACTGCTCTTGCGCAAGAGCAGTGTGGCGACGACACAGCACCCAGCAGCAGCACGCATGGGGCGGACATCGGGGCAGAGGTTGCAAACGGGTTTTGATTCCTTACCCGTACCCGTACCCGGCCGCACCAGGGTCGCAAACGGGTACCCGTACCCTACCCGTACCTGTACCCTACTCGATACCCGGCCGGGTACGGATAGCCGGGTATCGGGTAGGGTACGAGTATCGGGTACCCGATTGCGACCTCTGGGATGAAGCCATGTTGCAGGCGCGGGTGGGTTGATTCTAGGAACTTGAATTGTGAGAAGAGACAAGACGTTGGGAAATGAGTGACAAACGGTTACTCACCAGTGACTCACGGCCTACCCATACCCGGCCGGGTACGGGTAGCCGGGTATCGGGTAGGGTACGGGTATCGGGTACCCGATTGCGACCTCTGCATCGGGGTAAACGTGAACAGCAACAAAACACGGCGCTTGTGATGAGTTCACGAGCAACTGTGCTGCCCCCTGTCCCCCCCCTCTCTCGCAACAGCTGTGTGGTCAGGTGACCGAAGCGATCAACAGCGACCTGGAGAACAGCCTGCAGGAGATCCCAAGTGAGACCCCACGTGGGAGACACAACCCCATGGTTACTCGGTTCACCAGCGGTGTGGATTATTTACACATGCAAGCTTTTAGGGGGTGGTGTTCACGCCCTCGCCTGGTGTACAGGAGGTCGTGGGTTCGATCCCGACCCTGATGCCTGCTGCTGTATATTTGGGGTTTGTGTATCTCACTCCCTATGGTCGCGTGGATTTTTCTTCGGGTCCTCCAGTTTTTCCCTCTGTATATAGCTCAGTAGGCCTTACCTGGCAAAATTTTAAAAAGTTTAGTTTTAGTTGACGTACGGCAATGCAGACCATGGGCTGACCTCGCCACACGGACAGGGATTCACTTCTCATGGAATGTTTTTTATTCTTTTCGGCGTCGCTGGTTTACAGACCGAAGCAGGTGGCACGTGACGAGAAATATCTATGTACGCTGAACTTCTTTCACACCGTACGTAGCCAACTATGCTGATCGGAGGTGCTCGTAGTAGTAGCAGTCACAGCCATGAGCGACGGGCATCCTGGATGTGGCGTTACCGGCTGTGGATATTTTCGTGGGGTAGACGTGGCTGAAATGAAGCCCGGCCGAGCGAGTGAAGCCAATCAATCCCCAGTGCTGCGATATTTCGGCGGCCCACATTTGAAAAGTAAATCATTGCAAGGGTTTTTGTGTGAAATAGGTCGTGGGTAAAAGAGTTTGTGTGTCAAAGAGTTTGTGGGTGAAGGCTACGCTTCCAGGGTCAAACTGTACGTCTAGGGTGGGCGCGTGGCTTTTCCACTGCAACACGGCTCTCCAACACTGCCCGAACAGCAGCACAAGGAAACAACATCAGAAAGTGCGAGAGATGTGGGCCGTGTGAAGGGTTGTCATGGTAACACGGCGAGCGATGGCGACGATGATGCCCATGTCGCATATGAAAGGTGGAATGTAGTTGTTACTGATGGTGTTTGATGATGATGGTGCCGATGACGATGCTGATGATCACGATACAAGCCAAAGTTCAAGGTAGTGATGTCATTGTTGCTGATGATTTATGATGATGCTCATGATGTCGACGTGTCCAAGAATTCATGTAAATGTCATTCCAAATGTGATCGGGACCCCAGTCACTGCCAAGGTGGACGAATTCACAGAGGTCGACTACTCGCTCCTGAGTCCTCCCGACACCCGCGCAGACATGCTGGACATGCCCTGCAAGGTGAGCGCACTCACCTGCTCACCACTCACCTGCCCACCACTCACCTGCCCACCACTCACTTTTCCACCACTCACTTTTCCACCACTCACCTGCCCACCACTCACCTGTTCAGTAACCCTGTACCGGTGACCAGGCTGCTGTAAGTGTCCTACCGAGCAGACGACTGTCTCTACGTCTCCGTGTCTCATTTCCACGTCTCTATCCATCTACCCACGTCTCCGCTCTCGTGTCTCCGTGTCTCTATCCATGTCTCCATGCGTGTCTCTATTTCTCCATGTCTCTATCCGTCTCTTTAAATGTGACTTTGTGTGTCTCTCCGTGTCTCTACGTGTGTATCCGTGTCTGCGCTTTGCCCCGCAGGGTGAGTTCTACAGCCTGCAGCACCACTCCGAGTTCCCTGTCCCTGCGCCCCCCATGGATCTGGGCACCTCTGCTGACCGCATGCTCTACTTCGGCCTATCCGAGTTCCTCTTCAACAGCGCCGGCTACGCGTACCAAGCCTCCGGTGCCCTCACCTACATTATCACTGAGGCCATGGTGAGATACAGAGACCCTCCTCTCATCCGATACAGAGCTCCCATCTCATCTGATACAGAACCCTCGTCTCATCCGATACAGAACCCTCGTCTCGTCCGATACAAAGCCCCTATTCCATGCGTGTTGACATAATATTTAAATAAGTCTTATGATAAATTGCACTCCACCACACTCGCGACCGAATGCGTCGATAGTTTCAACTTGTAACGTGCCCCTGCTACACAATATTCTCTCCCTCAGAGGCACGAGGACGAACCACGCTGGTGAGATGTTACCTAGTTTAACACGTAGGCTTTCGCGACCAATATTATTCATGATCAACGTTTTTGGGTTAGATCGCGTTATTTATAAATGTGTCGTAACCCTCCACCACCCGACACGGCCAATCAGCAACAAAAAAGTGTCACGTTACAAAAGACAAATAGTTCACTGCTTTAGCCCACCGGTGTGTTGAAGCGTGAAACCAAAACATTTACAATTTTTTGAGTACGATGATTCGCTGGTAATTGCATCCAGCATCATCGGGAAATTCGCCAGAATAGTGAGGCTCTGCTCTTGCTCCCGGTCTTATATAGAGCAGCAGCAGCAGGGTGACGTCATCATTTAACTCATCAGGTGCAACGATTTGAGGCGGAGGGGGGGTATTGTAATTATATACTAGATTAGTAATCAGGCAATTGTTACGATGTTAGTTGTAGATTAGTAATCAGTTGTAATGTATGTTATTGTAATTATATGCTACGTTAGTAATCAGTTAATTAGTGTTTGTTTCGCCTATAAGGAATTATAATATGTATTATTTAATAATACGCTTCCAGGCCGCACTAAGCCTGCTTTATTGGACAGACGGGGCGTAACATTAGTATAAGACTAAAATGGTTTCAAGGTGACATGTGGCAGCCAGGTGGTGAACTAGCACCAAATTTCCTCCCCTCCTCGCCAAGCTCTGCAGTCCTCAATATATCAAGGTGTTGTCAGCCAACTCATGAGTGGGAGAGGAAATCGGATTACCTACACGTGTGAGGGAGCAACACTCGATGCCGTACAGATGGAAACCACACCACGTGTTTGCTGTGCCACCTTCTCTTGGCGAGCCTGGGAATGGTACCTCCTCGACACCCAACGGGCAGGGAGTGTCGCAACATTTTCTCGGTCATCACCAGCGCTTGCTGCTGCTGCCTCCGCCGTGCTGGATTACAGGCAGCCACACGCGTAGCTGCCACCACCACCACCACCACCCGCGTTGAGGTGCCGTGGCTGCTGGCGAACGTGCTCGGCGTGACGCCGTGTTGTTGTGCGCTGTGCACGTGGTCTCTGCTCGCAGCTGCCGAAGGACGCCCCCTTCCACCTCAACACCTCCAGCCTGGCGCCCATCGCTGTGAAGGTGCGTACAAGTGCCCCACAGCCTCTCGGCGCCGGCCGCTTTCACCCCTTTCCCACTGGCGCATCCGAGCCGAGGCATCGCGGCGCCCTCACGGTACTATGGCTGGTTTCTCCACCGGCTAGCGCCGTACCTAGCTGGAGGACGCACCATCGCCGCCACCGCGTCACCCACACGCATCTCCACTCGCTCGCTGCGCGCGACGTCAGTGGCACGACTCGGCTCCTGCGGTGGAAACACTGGTGCCACCTGGGCCACGCCAGCACACCTCTGGCTCGGCTCTGCTTGCGCGTGTTTGTGCGGGGAGCGGTGGCGTAGCAATTAGAGCGCCGCGGAAAACAAACCCTGACCGTCCAAGTTCGATTCCCGCTTGCTGGCCAACACCAGTGACGATTATCGGAACCGGTGCTGGGCCTCCTTGACTCGGCCTCAAATGACTACCTGGTTTGGTGTGCTAATGAGTAGCCGGGGGGGACAAAGTTGCCACACTGCATAGGCGCTCGGCGACAGCACTTGCCGAGACAGCGCGCGTGGGCTACACGGGGGACCTTTGTCTGTGCGCGTCAGCTCAAGGACTTCCCGGGGCTGCCTGTGGAGGTGAGGGTCGAGTCGAGCGCCGCGCCACGCTCTCCATCTCCGCCGGCAACGTCACGCTTGCACACGCAGGCCCTCGCAACCTTCAGCGCCCTGTGGCCCAACGGCACGCGCAGCTTCCTCTTCTCCATCAACGCCGTGAGAACACGCGCGCGCACCGACACACACAACCACACAAGAAACACGCACGCACACGCATATATCCCCTTTAGCCTTAACAGACTGTAGGGGCAAGTGCTGTTCGCCAGCACCTATGAAGGCTGCCACGGCACGCAAGGGGGTGGGTGGCGAGCACCATGGCGATGTTTACACACCGCACCAGGTATACGTTGGAGGCTGATTCGACATTAGGGAGGCCCAGGACCAGTTCAGATGATCCTCACCAGCGTTGGTGCCGTAGCGGGACACCGAACTCGGGTCGCCAAGTTTGTCCGTTGTTGCTGGAGGGCGACTGCCTCCAACTGCCCAGCAGCGTCCTTCACGAGCCTCCTCCACAGAGGCCGATCTTGACACCGCTGGTACCAGTCATCGGCAAGTCCACTTCACTGCTGCCACATCCTCCATGCCCACTACCCACATCCAACCTCCCCAATCTCCCTTTTTTTTTTTTTTTCCCTCCCTAGCCCCATGCCCGCGGGGCACGTTTTTTCGCCCCCTCGATCCGCCGAACAAAAGCTGTTTAGGCATGCGGTGGCTGGGCATGCGGGGCTACATGACCCTGCCAACGCAGCCTTGCCTGCCGGAGGAGCTCACCGATGGGACTTTGCCCAGATCTTCAAGGATTGTGAGCTCCTCACACAATCAGCCTGGTTAAACCCAGGATGGATCGTAGGCAGGCCAGCAAATGTTTTCCAACCAGCGAAGACACACATACACACACTGACACACACGCACTGACACACACACATACACACACTGACACATGCACTGACACACACACACCCGCGCGCGTACCACTCACTAGGGTTGAGTAGGAGCTCGCTAACAGAGCGCCTCGCTGTGCGTGCGCAGAGAGCCTCGCTGCTGCCAGGCTGGAGATCGACGCTGACAAGCTGCACGGGACGCTCGCGCTGGACAGGTCAGCGGCGAGCGCAGCACCAGCCAGTGCCACCACCACTGGGAGGGGCCCTGGGTTGGCCGGCTGTGGCATTAAAAATGGCTAGCCCCCCCCGCCCCCAGTAAACAATAGACTCTAGCCACCCCCCTCCCAGTAACAATAGACTCTAGAGACCCCCCCCCCTCCAGTAAACAATAGACTCTAGCCCCTCCCCCCTGTAAACAATAGACTCTAGCCCACCCCCCTCCCCCTTCCCAGTAAACAATAGACCCTAGCACCACCCCAGTCAGGGTCTATGTCTGGGTGGATCTAAGTCTGTGTCTGTGTCTGGGTGGGTCTATGTCTGGGGGGTCTAAGTCTGGGTCTGTGTCTGTGTGGGTCTGTGTCTGTGTCTGGGTCTGTGTCTGGGTCTGTGTCTGGGTGGGTCTATGTCTGGGTGGGTCTAAGTCTGGGTGGGTCTAAGTCTGGGTCTGTGTCTGGGTGGGTTCTAGTCTGGGTGCGTCTATGTCTGTGTCTGTGTCCTGGGTGTATGTCGGGGTGTATGTCTGAGTTTGTGTCTCTGTCTGGGTCTATGTTGGGGTCGATGCCAATCTGCTGCTGTCTGCGTTGTTTGCTGCTTGCGTGTGCAGCTTGGTCCTGACGCTGGTGAAGTCGGATGTGGGAGACGTGCAGTAAGAGCACCCACCCGTGCTACTGACGCATGCAACACTGACACATGTGACACTACAGACAAGATCCCCCGAATAGCCTTAACAGACTGTTCGGGCAAGTTCTGTTAGCGCGCAGGCACCTATGAAGGCTGCCGGCACTGTGGTACAAACGAGGGGTGGGTGGCCAGAACCACGCCCAGCCGCCTTTGTCTCCCCAGTGGCGATGTTTACACACCGGACCAGGTACTCATTTGAGGCTGAGTCGACCTAGGGGAGCCCCGGGACCGGTTCAGATAATCGTCACCAATGTTGGCCATGAGAACGGGAATCGAACTCGGGTCGCCAGGCTCGTAGCGCAGGTGCGCTAACCACTGTGTAACTGGACATCTGTGGTGCTTACAGCTGACTGCTGGATGGGCGCGTTGTGCAGAGCGGAAGGCCCCGGGCACGGCAACAGCTCCACTCTCTGTGTGTGCCACTCTGTGTGCTGCTCCCCTACAGGTCAATTTGCTGCAGTCGATCATCAAATCATCACTAAAACGATTATCCTGCCCAAAGTGAACGGTAACGCAGCGCCGCGCACACAACGCACCCACGCAGGCCTCTCCACATCTGGTGGTTTTCCGCTCTGCATTTAAAATCAACGTCACGCGTTTATTGAGTGTTTGGCTGCTAACAAATGTCCACATCATTGGACTCTCATTTGCGATAGGCAGGTCACTGCGGAAAAAAGTGATAGAGCTCAGTGGGCCTTACCTGGTGAAACAAAGAGAGTGAGTACCGTCGAAATTGCAGGGGCGGCAGTCGCAGCACAGGACGTTGGCTCGGTACCTGCAAGAGGGCGGCCTGAACCGTGCATGGTTGGGTGGCCAGAACCTCAATTGAATCCGCAATCTCAGCGTTGCCCACTCAGTGTCTCTGTCTGACCACCCTCCACCCCCCCACCCCCAGGAAGATGTCTTTGAATGTCAGGCGTGCCAGGCTAGGTGTCGTGTGACACTGAGTCCCGTCCCCCGCGTGTGTATGTGCGTGTGTGCGTGTGTGTGTGCGTGTGTGCGTGGTTGCTGCGTGTGTGCGTGCGTGTGTGCGTTGTGTGCGTGTGTGTGCGTGTGTGTATGCGTGTGTGTGCGTGTATGCGTGTTTGCGTGTGTGTGTGCGTGTGTGTATGTGGTGTGCGTGTGCGCGTGTCCCGCACAGAGAGGCTGAGCAAGGGGAATCCCCATGCCGCTTCTGAAGAAAGTGAAGATCGTGAACGCCGTGCTGTCAACAAGGAGGTGCGCAGTGCGGGCCGGAGCGTTCGTGAGGAGAGGCGTGAACGTGCGTTGTGTGTGCGTGTGTGTGCGCGGTGTGTTGTGTGTGCTGCGTGTGTGTGCGCGTGTGTGTGCGAGTGTGTGCGTGTGTGTGTGTGCGCGTGTGTGGTGTGCTGTGCGCGTGTGCAAGTGTGTGCGCGTGTGCGCGTGGTGTGTGTGTGCGTGAGTTTGTGTGCGAGTGTGTGTGTGCGTGTGTGTGCGCCCCGGTGGCTAGATGTTAACTCCCTCGCCTGGTATGCAAAGGGCGGGGGTTGATCCTGACCCTGACGCCTGCTGTATAATTGGAGTTTGTGTCTCTATCCCCGTGGTCACGTGGATTTTTAACGGATCCTCTGGTTTTTCCCATCGCATTTAGAATCGGCATCACACGTTTAGAGTACTTGGCCGCTGTACATTTCAACATGACGATAATCCAACTTCGTTGAGCTCTCATTAGTGGCCACGTTGCTTCCCAAAGAGAGCTACGTACATGAGTGGGCCTTACCTGGTAAGATAAAAAAAGTTGAGCTTAGTTTTCGTCTCTCGTCTTTGTCTTTGTGTGAGTCGGGAGCGGTGGCGCAGCGGTAAGCACACCAAGCTACCCAGTGACCCAAGTTCGATTTCTGCTCACGGCCAACACAGTGACGATTATCTGAACCGGTCCTGGGCCTCCTCTAGGTCGACTCAGCCTTACATGAATACCTGGTGCGATGTGTCTAATAACATCAGCACTGGAGAGACAAAGATGGCCGGGCGTGGTGCTGGCTACATACCCCCTCATGTGCCGGAATCCATGCACAAGCATGGTTTCTCTTCAGTGTTTATTGTTTTGTTTTATGTTGAACTTCTTTCGTACAGTACGTAGCCAACCGCGCTAATCTGAGGTGCGGGGAAAGGACAACAAACTAAAGACAAGGAGCAGTTATGAAGAAACGAGTTTGTCAATCTAGATGATGACGGTTTAAAAGTGCACAGCTCCAGTAGCTTCCTAACGTCAGGAGAGCGTTCCAGACGGCCGCAGAAGCGCGCCCAAAAGCGCTGCGCGATGCGGCGACCGTCGTCTTTGTTCGGTGGCTGAGCCAGAAGCTGCTGCCGCTGCTGCTGCCACTGCTGCTGCTGCTGCCACTGCTGCTACCGCTGCTGCTGCTGCCGCTGCTGCTGTGAGGAGGACCGCCGGCGGAGTTCGCGGATTGCTGTGGTGGGTGGGGGGGTGTCGGTGAGCGCCGGCCCGCGTCGCGAGAGACGATGACCGTCGTTCCGTGCTGTGCCCCCGACAGGGGTTCACCGTGGTGGGGATGGATCTGCGCTACTCGCCGTGACGTCGGGGGCCGCGCAGCCACGGAGAGAGGGGGCGGGGGGAGGGGCCTTGGCTGCCCTTCCGGGGGCGCGTGGGTGCTACACGGTGGACGCCACACACACAGACACACACACACAGACACACACACAGAGACACAGACACACACTCTCTTGTTATGAGTTGTATTGTTCCGATTGTTTACCCGGGAAAGCATCGCCCAGTCTCGTGACTCTTTTTCAAGAGGGTCCTGCCAAGCTTGCAGAGTGGGTGGTAGGTGGTGGGAACAATGATTGCTGCTGCGTTTAATCCCCAATGAGTCATGTGCAGTGTAATCTTTCACATGTTCACCGTGACACTGGCACACAGCGGCCTCCTCTTGTCAATGATGCCACGGGAAACTTTTAACGTCCACCGTGAATCTGACGGCGCGTGGTAGTACTAGTAGAGCCATGAGGGTTGTTACACCCCAAGTATTAACCGGGACGGCCGCTGGACCCGAACCGCCTACACTAAAAGTCGAAGTGAGTTTGATTTGCTGCCCAAACGACTGAGGCAGTGCAGGCAAATTCCACATTCCAATGGCAGGGGGCGAGTCTATCCAAAGGACCGTTGTTGCCCTCCCCACAAAGTGGTACCCTGTTTATCGACCCTCGAGAGATGATGGGATGAGTCAAATCCACCCCCCCCCCGACCCCCGCCAACCAGGATATGACCTCTCAACCTTCCGATGACGAGCCGCTCGCTCGACAGCTGAGCCACCAGGCCCACGGGGAGTCGAGAATTGTTCTCAACAATTACAGCAGCCTGGGGGTTGGCGAGTTCCACTCATGGCGGGGGCAGTTGTCAGCCTCAAGATCTGCGTTGCCTGAAGCCTCCTGCTCAATATACACACAGACAGACACCACCTCCATCACGGGGCTGCTCGTTCATCGATTGGCCAAACATCGCAATGCAGCAGCAGGGATCCCCTGGTGGGTGAAGCCTTTCCTGGGTGAATAAAGGGTGAATGAAGGGTGAGTGAGGGGTGAGTGAATGGTGAATGAAGGGTGAGTGAAGGGTGAGTAAAGGGTGAATGAAGGGTGAGTGAGGGGTGAGTGAATGGTGAATAAATGGTGAATAAAGGGTGAGTAAAGGGTGAATGAAGGGTGAGTGAGGGGTGAGTGGTGAATAAAGGGTGAATGAAGGGTGAGTAAATGGTGAGTGAGGGGTGAGTAAATGGTGAATGAAGGGTGAGTGAAGGGTGAGTAAATGGTGAATGAAGGGTGAGTGAAGGGTGAATGAATGGAGAATGAAGGGTGAGTGAAGGGTGAGTAAATGGTGAATGAAGGGTGAGTGAAGGGTGAGTAAATGGTGAATGAAGGGTGAGTGAAGGGTGAGTAAAGGGTGAATGAAGGGTGAGTGAAGGGTGAGTAAATGGTGAATGAATGGAGAATGAAGGGTGAGTGAATGGTGAGTAAAGGGTGAGTGAGGGGTGAGTAAATGGTGAGTGAAGGGTGAGTGGAGGGTGAGTGAAGGGCACGCTCGCGGTAACATTGGGTGAGGGCAAGAGACGTGAACAAAATGAAAGTAAAAACAAAATCACGAATCCCCCCGCTGGTGTCTGTATACCATGGCGCTTTGTAAATCCCTCCCCAGGGAGGCCTCCTCTGTGTGCAAGGCTGAGTCTGCAGGGGGGCAGCTTCGTCTGGAAGCGCGGATTCTAACAGCCCAAGACGCGCACTGAGCCGCTCGTTTTCACATCTCGCTTTGTCAACTCCACGGCAAAATCGTCGCCGGGAGATTTTTTTGTTGTACCTTTTGATAAACACAAATTGCCACCAATGTTTGACTCTCGATGATTTCCCGCGCTGTCTTTATTATAAAAGTCCCGCTTGCAAAATGCCATGTGGGTCATGGTGTTGCGTGCACACACACACACGCGCACCAGTTAGGGATTCCACATTTCTGGGAGGCTCAACAGGGACAGGTACGAAACACGTTTTAACACGTAGGCTTTCGCGAACAATATCCATATATTTTTTTATTTAATAACGATAATGGCGGATTTCTCCACAAATCTGGCTGTCGCCTGATGAAGCTAGTTGTAATTACTGGCGACACGTCGTACTCAGATTGTAAATGTTGCGGATATACTCTCCAACACACCGGTTAGTGCTGTACTGGTGACGAATTGGCACATTCTGTTTACGTGACAACCCTTACTAGTTGGCTGTGTCGGGTGGTGGCGGGTTTAACGACGCATTTAAATCTCGACTTAAAGCTTTCGTGACTGCAGGAATTCATATTCTTTGGGTCTTTGGGTCTTTCGGTAAAGTCACGTAGATAGGTTCAAAGAAAATAAATTACGTTTCGATCGCATCAAAAAAGCGTATGGACATTTGTTTCCACATCGTGAACAATGCGGAGGTTGTCACTGTGGGGGAGGCTTGGTAGCACGTG